ATTTTTGTGAAAAACAGCTCATTTTTTGCCCGTTTTTCACAAAAATGGGATGTGGGGTGGTGTTTCAGGAGGCCAAAAATGGCTATATTTAGTGTATAAAACGCATCAACATTTCCACGCTCCTTTAGAGGGGAAACAGTATGTCTTATACTCCGAAAAATTTACTTGCAGTTGCCCACTTTTGAACTTCTGGGTTGGCAGGAGCTGGAGCAAATGATGGGAACTTGCCCTATCACACAGCACACTTGGGTTTCAAACACAGGGTTGCTGATTATCAACCCAGTGCCCCATGTACTCTGTGCAAGATATGAAGAGCATTGCTTGGACACAGTAGAAAAAAAGGTAATTAGGTGAAAGTGTGAAAAAAGACATTAAATATCAGGTTTCTCTCCTGGCAGCAATGAGGATAAGGGGAAAAATATTCCAAATGCCGTGGGAAAATGCATGGTGGATGGTGTAATCTAAACAAAATATTCATTTTAGTGTGTTAAGCAGTAGCAGAATGTCTAGGAGATTTTATTGTTTTATTCTCTCTCTCTCTACACATTATTTTCTAAAGAACAAGGAAAATCAATTGCATCTCTGAATGGAATAATGGTATGGATGCTGTAGCTATCCTTCTACATCTGTAATGGGGCTATTAATGATTGTGGAAATTGATAGTGACAGAAAGAGTCAGACCAAACACTTGTAATGTCGTGAGTCTGGCAACAACAGGAACAGCAACAAAATCTCCCCCCCCCTTAATCTGTTATTGTGATACTGTTAACCCTCCTGTTTAATTCAAGCCAGCATTTAAAATTATGCTCTGCAAGGGAGCAAATATCTGCTTCCTGTCTGCATTGCTTAGGATATACCAAACTCAATCTCGGCCACTGTGTGAGAGAGATAGGAGGAGGAGGAGGAGAAGGAGGAGGAGAAGGAAACAGAGAAAGAGAAGGAGACACATGAAGCTAGAATGCAGATACAGTTAATTAGATTTTTTTTTCTTTTTCTTTCATGGTGTGAACCAGACTCTGGTAGATTTGGGGCCTTATCCAACTTGTTTATTTTTCGTTCCCTTCCTCTTTTAGTTCAAGGCAGGAATTCATTTTGCCTCATAGGTTCGACAAAGCAGTATTTAAAAGACAGGTCAAGTGGTGCAAATGACCATATTGGATTGGTTTACTACCAGGCTATAACTGGCACTGAGAAAATCATTATGGTGCATGAAGAGATAAAATGGCGCCCCTCATGGACTCAGTTCTGGGCACACAAGATGCTAATGCAGAGGCATTTGCCATGCTCTTGTGGCTATGGAAATTTTGATACCCAAGTTTAATTTGCTACCCCACCTGCAGCTGTAACCACGGATGTTTGACTAATGCACTCCTCTAATTGGGAATGGTTTTCTTGCTTAAGAACAGCTTGAATCGCTTTTTCTCTTTCACTGACCTCTTTCTTTGACCCTTAATCTTTTCCATTCAGTAGAGGGGCTTCCAATTGGATGTATCTACCTATAGATCCAACTTCTGGGGTATTTCATTTCTCAGCTAATAAGGGAAGAAGGCAACAGAACCTGGGGCTGTGGAGAAGGTCCCAAGTTGTGCCTTCCTCAGCTTTTCTAGTTCCTCTTCTGTTTAGGTGCTGCTGGAAAAGTTAGAATGACAGGAAGAGGAGCTCGGAACAGATCTGGAGAGCTAAAAGACCAGAATTTCTCCCTTCCTCTCTCTGTTTTCCACAAAAAAATGAGACAGAAGTAATAAAAAAACATCAGGATCTTCTTTCTGTCATGGGAATTGTATTTTGCTGCAGATTGTTTCCAAAGAAGGGCCAGCTTTCTACAGAGTATTCTTGTAGGAAGTTAAAAAAATGAAATGTTCTAGGAAATATTAAAAAGGCAGAATATTATATTTACCTGGACAAGAAAAGGATAAAAAATTTTTTAAAGACAAAGCAGCTCCCTGCAGCTCCCTGTACCCCCCTTCAGCTCCAGGCTGATGGGATTAAGGCATGGCCTCTGGACATGGTAGGATTATCCCTCTGCCCATCTCACCACATGGCACCTGGGAAGATTACATCATCCAGCAAGGCTCAGCCAAGCCTGGGACTCATTATAGCCTACAGAAGTGCTCCTGCATGGCCCCATGGGTCTGACAACCAATCAGAATACAAGCTCAAATTCAAAAGTCCGGAGAAGATATAAAACTCAGGTACTCTCAGCATCTCTTCCCTATTTTTTTTCTTCACCCAACATCTTGGGTGGCAAGGTGGCACAGTGGTTAGGGTGCAGTACTGCAGGCCACTTCAGCTGACTGTTATCCTTCCCAATTGCTTCTCTTCCACACTACGGTA